GAGTAACTTAGAATAGAGCACACCCAGACAGGAGCAATGTGAGGAGGGAAGGAAAAGACTGATGACTGTGTTTCCCGCCACGGAAGCCTTCCTGAGTGTTGAAGACAAGCTTCCAGATTGGTCCTGTCACTAGGCCAGCTCCAAAGCCACAGGTGATAGGATGGAAGCCAGCTGGCCTTAGGATGACAGGCTTTATTGACAGATGTATATGCAGATAGTTAGCACTACTCTACAGAATTAAAGGACAAGTGGCCTCCTGTGTTCTCCAACACTCAAACTGTCTCCTTCGGAGTGATTCAGAGAAACGTGATCTTCTGGACAGCAGGTGGGAGGTGACTGGTGGAATTCAATGGCATGTGACCTAACAGCTGGAGAAGCAGAGCTTTCCAGCTCTAACACCCACGGTGACCCCAAACAGCTTGCCTTGCACTCATCGGCTTCTTTATCATCTTTATTTATTTATTAACTTTTTATTGATTTGCCGTGAATTTCCCAGCATATACCTCAATCCCACTCATCTTCCCGTCCCTCCATTTCCACCCTTGCAACCCCACCCCAAAAACAAAACAAAGAAACAAAAGTATCTCACTATAGAGCTGCTGTGTGTCATGGCGTGTCAACACAACACACCCTTCGGCCCAAACAGCTTTACTTGCAAATGTTCATTGTAATGAGTCATTGGACCGGTTCCAGGCCTCTGGCTTCTGCGGCACTATCAAGCCTGGATCCTCGGCAGGACCCCTCTCAGATAGCCTGTTGTTGCCTGCATCAGGGACATCTTTCTGCTTTGGTTCTGCAGGACTGGCCCCTTCACGTGCTCCAGCAGTTCACAGATGGGCTAGATGTTGGGGTGGGCCAACTCAAACTGGACCTGGGTGGAAGCTGAGTCAGCCAGCAAGCCCACTCTCCTGCACCCGCCCCGCCAGAGCCAGCTATCCTGCTTTGTTCAGGGGAGAGGTAGGGCTAGGTAACAGCACAGGCCACTAAGATCAGTATGGTCCCTGGAGGCAGCACAGGACATCCACACGGCTTCAGGTGGCTGTACAAGCTCCTCATATCAGCCTGTTCCTCGCCGCCACCACATCTCCATTTTCACTGAGCATGAACCGCCCTGCTTTTCTTCTCTTCCATCTGTCTCCCATCTCTCCACTGTATATCCGCTCATTGTAAAGGCACTGACTGCCCTGGCCTATGGCTTGGGGCAGGTGCTTGGGTGTCACCTTCTGGACCACCCCAAACAGCAGGGCATCTTTTAAATTTTTATAGCTTTATTTATTATTAGCAAATATGTGTTGTACAAAATGTTGGGCCTTATTGTGACATCCATATGCAAGGATATCATGTAGTCTGATCATGTCCATCCCTCCTCATCCTCTCTACCTTCCTTCCCACTGGTCCCTTCTTTCCAAACAATCTCACACTCCCATTTCAAGCGCTGTTCTTCAAGTGAAGTCTACATTTCACAAATGAGTTTAAAATGAACATTTGCATTTCTGGACCTGGGTAGTTTCATTGAACATGATGATCTCCAGTTCCGTGTATTTTCCTAAAAATGGCATAGTTTTCTTCTTCTTCATGGCTAATCGGTGCCGTGTTGTGTGCATAGACAGTGTTCTCCCCATCCATTCATCTGTTATGGATGTCTAAGCAGACTCTACAACTTGACTATTGTGAAAAGTGCTGCAGTGTATACCTATGGGCTATGCTGACTTTGATTCCTCTTGGCATGTACCTTGGAGTGGTTAGATGGATCATAAGCCAGTTTTATCTTTAACCTTTCGAGGTAATTCCATACCAATTTCCATTGTGGCTGATTCCATTTACGATCCTACCAACAGTTCTCCACATGTCCCTCTGCTCTCTTTACAGCAGCCATGCTACTGACGTAAGATGGCCTCTGTTTGTAGCTTTGGTTTGCATGCCTCTCACGACTAAGGACAGCTAACATAGGTTCAGATATTTACTGGCTGTTATACTTCTTTTGAGGACTTTTGTTTGTATGCTTATTTATTTTAAAAGTTCTTTGTGTATTGTAGCTATTAGTCCCTTGTCAAATGAATGGTTAGCCAGTATTTTCTCCCCTCTTTCTGGATTCCATGACATCTCATCCTTCAATTCTGGCCTATGAGAGTCATATTCAGCAAGTCATTTCCCATAACTGTATCTTGAAGTATTTTTCCTTACATTTCTTCAAGTAGTTTCAAAGTTTCAGATATTACATTAATGTATTAATGCCTTTGAATACACTTTGAGTTGACTTTTTTTTGTATTCAGGAATGATATAGATGGGTCAGTATGAGAGTATTTTCCCAACCATTTCCCTTAGTTTGGTTCCCAGAGTCAGTTTCCCAGAATTGTGTTTCAAGTCATACCACATTTAGGCCAGAAGGGGGCGCTATGTGGTCTCTAGTTGCAAGGTTCTGGGTAAGAGGCAGATAATATCTAGATCAGGAAATATCTCAATCTGTTTAAAGATTTCTTAGGCAGTTTTAGCTCCTTTGTTAATAGCATCTTTAATTCTGATTTAGATAAGCAATAGACACAGAGGTAAGATGGATTTCTGGTGGAATCCCAACTGATGGCCAGGGACTGTGATGAACAGGATAAAGGTGAAAATTTGAATCTCAATGTGAACAGAGCTAAGGAGCTGGCTGTCAGTAATTATCTCCAAAAGTCCCAGGGGAAGGTTGCCAGTGTGGGGTTTCAGCCAGAACTATATGAAAAAATTTCTCTTGCTCTCTGGTACACAGATTTTAGAGCTAAAATCTTCCAAAGAGGACTCACCCTCCAGAGAAAAGGGAGAAACACAATGATCAGCCTGAGAATTTCACAATACCTACCTTGTGGGGGGACTCCCCATTCTGACATTAAGGGGGGAAGCCCCGGACAACTCAACAGTCACCATCCTTTGACAGTTTGCCTTGGTTTATGCTGATCTTAATGAGTTGGTGATCTTCAGAAGAAATCTCAGACAAAATGCACCCCCCCCACACACATATGCATTCTAGAATCCTAGATCTGGTTCATTTTCTTACTGTTAAAAAATTAAAGGACAGGAAAAGTTGTAGTCACAGCAAGCAACTGAGTTTTATTACATACACACACACACACACACACACACACACACACACACACACGAGAGAGAGAGAGAGAGAGAGAGAGAGAGAGAGAGAGAGAGAGAGAGAGAGAACAGGTGTCCACAGGTAGGAAGGGGATCCAAGAACTAGAATCTGTTGGCCCCAGCGTGCTTGGGTTTGGTGGCCTGTGGTGGGATCCTCTCCCATTTGGGATTGCTCATCTTGTATGAAGGAGAGTCAGGAGAGCCAGCCTAGCATAAGCTTGGGCCAGTCAGCAGCAAGGAGACGGGAGAAGTCCTCCGAGTCTTTTTGTCTTGGATGAAGAAGCCAGGAGTATGCCAAGTTGTTTATTGTCTGTCTGTCTTTCCCTGCCTGTCTCCCAGGGAGCTATCTGACTCTTGTACCTCCCTCCTTGACCTGACCTAGCATGACATCTGTGGCACTGTGGCATTTACTGCATTGCCTGAAGACGTGGAGGAGATCTAGAGGACAGCCCTGGCACATGTCGATGCTCTTCATGCTCAGGGTAAGAGCATAATCCAGCTGGTGCTGCGGCACCTCCACCAAATGACCCCATTACCAACGTGCTCAGATAATCTCCTAGGGCTTTCTGATGCTTGTCTCCCAGCAGGAATGGAAAAGGAGACTCTCCAGTCACTCATCTCACTCAACTACGACAAAACCAAAAAGATACCCAGGGTGCTGAGGAAAATCCGGCCCTATTTTCTCCAGTTCAGCAGAAACCATGACTAATTATGCAAATCTCATGCCAGACAGTGATGAAAGGGAGATTGTATCTTCACCTTCACTTCATTTTCCAGTCAGCACCCAGGATTAGAAAAACACCTCGAGGATCAGAGGACAGACCCCACACTGCTCAGGTGTGTAAAAATTGCCTCAAAGGTCTTTAATGAAAGAAAGCCCTTAAACTGAAAACTCGAATGAGGTCGGGTAAAATGCCAAATGCTAGCTGCACTCTAGTTTCTGAGATAACGACAGGGTAAGCCAAACAAAGGAATGATATCCTTTCTACTCATTGGGGCCACAGGGCAAGAAATAGCCTGCCCCGATCCGTGGCTGCCACTCTGCCCTTGTCCCCTGTGTGGAGAGGAAGCCCACTGGAAATCAAATTGTGTTCCGAGACTCCAGTTCCTATGCCCTGCTCCTGTCCCGACAAGGTCCTAATCATGGAATTCGAGCTTGGCGAGTTTCCTAGGAGTGACTATTACTGACTGCTGGGATTATTGGCCCATTACTATCACCCTTAATGAGCAGGTAATGCTAGCTAGTAAGATTGTCTCATTTTATTGAATATAGGACCATTATTCAGTTTTACCATAATTTGCTGGGCCGCTACAAAAATCCCCTCTCAGACCTGAACACAATGGTCAACTACAGTGCAGTCTTGTGGGTGTTCCTGCTCCCATTTCTTCTTGGTCTTTCTTGGAGCCCTCTCCTCAGACGTGACAGTTCAGCAAAGGTCCATGCCTTGATTACCTTTCTCTCACAGATCCTCATGACAGCCTCCCTCCTATACTTTGTCATCTAGACTTCCTCCTGCTGGGGCCTCTCAGTACTCTGGGGTCACCTTTGGGTGTGAGACACCTCCCTGACCGTTACTCCTGTACTGATTAAATGACCAGACCCTCTGACGAGTGCGCAATGAATGGCTTGCAGGATCAAAATTGAATGAGTTTACGGACCCAGATTAGTGAATCTTAGAAAGACAAGCTGTATGACTACTGTGCTGGATCAAGAAATGGGGTTGTTGGGCTTTTAGTGTGTCTGGTGCATGGGCAGGACTGGTGTCCACAGAAGGACAGACTCATCTGGGGAGTGAGCGGAACCTCATGGGCGGTTCCGGTGAAGGCATCCAGGGGTTCCGGTGAAGGCATCCAGGAGTTCCGGTGAAGGCATCCAGGGGTTCCGGTGAAGACATTCAGGGGTTCCGGTGAAGGCATTCAGGGGTTCAGCAGTGGAGTCACATGCCGTGCCTTTTATTATTGTGCTTCGAAGGTGGAATGTCGCCCATAGACCAGGTATATAGTTGATCCCCAGCTGGTGGTGCTGTTTGGGGAGACATGGAAACTGGAGGCGAGGGAGTCTTGGGATAACTGCATCGTGAGGGGGTGGGCTCTGAAGTTTTATGTCCTGGCTCATTTCCCATTTGCTCTCTGCTTCCTGACTGAAGACACAGTGTTACCAGGGGCCTCTCACTCCAGCTGCAATTTCCTCATACCTCCTCCGAGACTGCAGATACGATGTGACCAGGGGACTCTGGCTCCTGCTGCAATGCCTTCAGGACCTCTGCCGACTGTACACTGGAACTTGGAGCCAAAATAACTCTTCTTTCTTTACATTGCCTTTGTCAGGTGATTTGCTACAGTAACAAGAAAACTGATGACAGTACATTAAAGAAAACAGAGGCCTGAACTTAGAGGGTTTCCAGCCACCTGAAGGAAAGGATAGAATTTGTGAATACAGACTCAAGTTTTCTGTGGTTAATGGCACTGGATTTGGGACATTCCCCAATAGGAAAAAGTATTTACAATGGCTATGGCAACCATGAGGCCCATCACTGTTGCTAGTGATTGATACAGGCAATGCATCCTTTCAATTCGACAAGTCAGGCATTTATTATGATCCAGTCTAGAGCAGCAAGGATCTAGGTCATGATGTTCTGTGGTTGGCTACAGCTGAATGAGCAAATTCAAAGGGTGGTAACTACTGGCCTGTCAACAGCAGCTGGGGTCTGAATGGGGTTCAAAGGGCTACATCAAAATAGTCAGAGACAAAAACAAAAGTGCTGCTTTGCCAGCTGCTTCGTAGAATGAGTTGATGAACTGTGCTGACGAAGGAATTGAGGACAGCATGTATAGAAGGATTTATCTAGTGTTTCCTCTTACACACTAGAATCCCTGAGAATCTTAGCTATGTTTTAGAATCTATGGCATTATTACAAGGGTGAAATATTAAAACTTCTTTAACTCTCAGTACAAACAGATTTATTATACTGAAGATGTATGGCTTAATCCTTAGACTGAATTGTATAAAAGGTTGTATGCAGCTCTATTTTTTTAAAATAAAGTTTAGTTCAATATAAAACAACATAATGGAAAAGATCACCTCACACATTTCCGTGTATTTATAACATCAAAGTAACAGAGCTATACAGACAGAGAGCAGACCAGTGGTTTCTAGCAGGGATGAGGCAGGCCAGTAGGACTACAAAGGGTCAGTACAGCAGAGACCCACTTAGCGACAGGAGCATTTTTACACCCTGGTGGTGGTGCTGTTGCACAAGTCTACACATGAGATCTCGTGCGTCAGCTGCATACTTACAAATGCAGGTCTGTGGCCTGGCAGTGCTGCACTGTTAGCAGCAACAGGGAGAGAGAACAGGGTCGAACCACCAAGTGAAACTGGAATTCTTTACTTCACTATGGACAAGAATTTGGAGATGAGTCAGTATGAAGCAACATCAGAGTTCATTAAAAAGAGAATCAATTTTCATATAGATGTAAGCTTGGGCCTTAAGGGAGAGAAAGATGCTTAGAAAGAGGGTGGTATACACCCCCAAATAGGTGTATAAGCATAGGTTCTTCAGGGAGAGATATGCTTGCACACCTTAACACTAGAAGTGTGTGTGTGTGTGTGTGTGTGTGTGTGTAACTTTTGATGGTTCCTGAAATTACATTAGAACTTCTAAGAAGCGTTTCTCACTAAGTAAATGAGGTTCCTAAGTAGGTTCCTAAGTTGGTTCCTAAGGGATCCTACACAGGATTATGAATGAATGACATAAAGCCATTGGTCTTGAGACTCAAAGGACTCCTCACTAGACTAGGTCATAAAGAAACTTAGGCAAACATTTGACTGAACAAGGTTCTTAATTTTATTTGTGAGATTCTTTACAGGTTTGTAGCTGGGAAAAGAATAATGTTCACTCCGAGAACTCTTTGGGCTTCGGCATGATTCTCTGCTACTTTAGCACTCTTATTTGAAATAATCGTTATTTAAAAAAAGGGAATACTGTCTGTTTTTGTGTAGAAAATACTCCATGACTTTTGTTAGTTGTGTTGAAAGTCTTGGCCCTCAGCCTGTGAGAACCTTTTCCAGATGTCTGGGTGAAAGTCCTCCCATCTTCTCTGATGAAAATATTGCCACAGTGGCTGTACAAGTTTGCATTCTGACCAGCAATGGAGAAGTGCTCGCCTTGCTTCATATCCTGTAGCCCAATTGTCATCAGGGAGGTTTCATCTAGCAACTTATGGGAGCAAGTGCATAGACCCACAGATGCATAGACCAAACATTAGGTGGAGCTTAGGGAAGAGGAGGAGCCAGAGGGGTTGAGGACATCAGAAGAACATGGCCCACAGAATCAACTAGGCAGGACTCATAGGGGCTCACAGACTGAAGAGACAGTCATGGACTCTGTATGGATCTGAGCTAGGTCCTCTGCATATTTGTTATAGTTGTGTAGCTTGGTGTTCTTGTGGAAGTGTGGGTGTCTCTGACTCTTTTGTCTGTTCTTGGGACCCTTTCCTTCCTACTAGGTTGCCTCATGCGGCCCTGATATGAGGGTTTGTGCCTAGTCCTACGGCATCTTGTTACGCCATGTTCAGTTGCTATCCCTGGGAGGCCTGCTCTTTTCTGAAGGGAAATGGAGAAGGAGTGAATCTTGGGAAGAGGGGAGATGAGGGGGGAGCTGGGAGGAACAGGGGGAAGGGAATCTGTGGTCAGTGTGTAAAGTGCAAGAGAAGAATAAATACATTTTAAAAAAGAGAAAGAAACTTAAAAGTAACTAACAAACAAGTAAATAAAATGTCATCACTCAGGGAAACTTGGTGAGGCATCCAAATCTTCCATGTATTATTTTTGTGAGTCTACAAATTGTTCCCTTTTGAGAGAGACTAACTGTGTTGCACAGGATGGACCTGGACTTAAGATCCTCCTGCTTCTGCCTCGTGAGTGTCTGGGATTATGGTGCCTGTGCCACCATGTTCTGCACTAAAGTCATTTAAAATAAAGTCTAAGGAGAAATCTTGAATCAAAGATATTGGAGCTAGCCCAGGGTCTTTCTACAAGGGACTGATTGAATAAACTATATTATATCTACATATTATATACAAATTTAATGATATGATGCATATACCAGCTGTCCTGATCATTGTAAAATGTCACAGTGTGTTCCATAATATATAATTATTGTGTTAATTAAATATGTATTAAACATAAGCTAAGGAATATATGTCTAAAACTATTGTAAATACGTGAAAAACTGTGTTTCAGAGCACTGGACAGAATGTTCCAGTAGAACATGAGGAAGGAAAGGAAGCAAGATTACAGACCTGGGACTCTGGGTGAGAATGGGAATGGGAGTTAAAATCTGAAGTAAACCCCAAACAGCAGGGGCTTCCTCCTGGACCCCAGATTAGGCACAGACAACACCCAATTGCCTGATTTTATAGAGAGATCCTTTTTAGAGTAGGTATGAAAAGTTACAGAGGCTGCTTTCTGACTCAGGCAGAAAACAGCAGCAAATGAGCTTGCAGGTGTAATTTTAAGAGGAGGTAAAGAGGAGTTTGTGTTAGAAACTGTGATGTGATGGTAAAGGAAATAGGGGAAGAAGGGGAAGGGGACAAGGGTATTTGTTCAAGAGGGACAAAGGACTGCCTTTGGATAGAGGGGAGACAGATATGGCACACAGGCAAAGGTGGTTTATAAAGGTAAAGGGGGAAACCATGCTAGGATGAGGTGTTTAATTTTAGTTAATTAGGTGAGCCAAAGGGGGCTTTTGATTGCTGGACTTTGGTAGTCCGCCTTGGAAGGAGGAAGTAGCCGAATAAGGGAATAGTCCTTGATGGCTAGCTTTAGAAATGTGATCTAACAGGTTTTAGCGAGACAGAGGGAATGGGGAGAAGGGCAAGGCTGCTAGAGCCACATGCTTGACGAGGCTGTTGTTCAAAATCTGTGCTTGAGAGAGCTGTAAAGCAAAGCAAGCTTGCCTTGCAAGAGAGGACTCTCTCCTTGATAGCCCAGTGGTTAAACCTGTGGGTCACAGCAACTTGAGGGGAGTCACACGGGTTGCATATCAGATATTTATATTACAATTCATAGTTTACTTTATTTCATGCATATTTCTGTATGTGTTTTGCCTGCATGTATGTCTTTGTTAAGGTGTTGGATCCTCTGAAGCTGGAGTTACAGGCAGGCAGTTATGAGCTGCCATGTGGGTGCTGTGAATTGAACCTGGGTCCTCTGGAACATCAGCTTGTGCCCGTAACTGCTAAGCCATCTCTCCAGTCCCACATTACAATTCATAACAGTAGTGAAATTGCAGCTATGAGGTAGCAACAAAAATAATTCTATGGTTGGGGTCACCACAACATGAGGAACTGTATTAAAGGACTGAAGCATTAGGAAGGTTGAAAACCACTGACCTAGACAGAAAGTAATTTTGTGTCCTTTGCCTTTATAAACCCTGACTGAAGTGGCTTGGGGCTGTATTCTGAACTCCTAAGTCCCTGGAGTAGATCTGGTGCCAGTATCTGAATAAAAGTCTCTTCTTTCTTAAAATTTATTATGGACAGACTGCTGAATCTCTTAACAACCCTAGACCCATAACATTGGGGGCTCATCTGGAATTTGGGCATCCAACCAGATCCACCTTCTTTTTCTGGCTGACCTTGGGACCCTGGAGAAATAAGATAGGCCCAGCATTGGGATGGAGCCACTGTCTTTAATGTCGAAACTTCACAAAAGATCTTGAATCTCTGGGAGCTGCTGGTGCACTGGGAGCCAAGAAGTCAGACTGGCCCAGCATTTGCAGGGAGCCACTAGCACATTCCGAAAAAAGAAAAGAGGCATCTCTTTTTACACCCTGGTGGTGGTGCTGTTGCACCTACCGGAAGGATAGGTAAGGACCCTGTCTACAGTGTGCACTCCTGAGACTTGTGGAAGAGCTGGGTGACTCGCTGATTCCTGAGCATGAGAGTTCACCAGGACACAGCTGGCCTTCATTTGGTTTTGGCTTGTCTGGGTGGTCACCAAATTGTAGAATTTTATCTGTTTTGTGTTGCTTGGATTGTTTGTGTCTGTGGTGTTGCATCTTCCTTTTCTTATGTCTAAGCCTTCTTTATTCTCAGATTACTCTGTTCCCTCCCCCACCCCACCCCTGTCACTGGATTCACTTGTACCAGGATTTGGGTGTGTTTTAGGTATGGGTGACATTAAATTGTTGTTTTATGCTGTTCCAATTCAATGAAAAGATGGGTCTGAAGTTGGCTATGGCTCCCTGTCTTCTAGACCCAAGCATGGTTGTTTAAAGGTTTACCTCAAAATCTCTGTCCCATGTCTGGCAAGCCATGTGACCCTGTGACACACAAAGGAGAGCAAAACAAGACAAAAAGCTAGACTATTTCCCATGAGGATTATTGCTACTCATCTCATACTCTCTCTGGTCTTGGTTTAACTCTTAAGCTTTTGCTCTTATCCAAAGGTTTGTAAGGCTATTATATAAACTTTCTGTTCCTCAAGATTTGTAAATTTATTGGGTGTGGTTAAAGATATGTAAAATTTGTAACAAAAACTTAACTTAAAAATTATGGCATGAGGGTTGGTGGTTGAAAATCTATACATAAGTAATCGTGGTTTACTACAGCATACTGTATGTGTAAAATAGATTCAAATCTTGTTTAAAAGAAATGGATGCTTTAAAAATAACACTGGATTTCTATTTTTGGTGTTTCTGTTGCTGTGAAGAGACACCATGACAATGCCAGCTTTACCTCAGAGTAATGTCATGTCATGGGTTAAGCCAAATGTTTGTCCATGAATGTTTTAAAAATTCATTGAGTCTGCAAATGTAAGTGATTAATGTATACAGAAATTCTTCTAGTAATTTGGCCAATTCTAGTTTTTACTTTAACTATAGGGTTATGACCAAACACATATTTGAGCTAACAGAATACATTAACTGAGGACAAAGAGGAGTAAATCTGAGAAACTCATTTAAAAGGATCCAGACAGAAAATGCTGCTTGAGCAGAATCAAGGAGGAAATCTCCAGAAAGGAAGCTATCTTAAAAAGAAACATTAGCTCAGTTCACCTCCTGGCTTAGGGCTGCTTGCCTCTGGCCAGGGTTTGACACCAACCTGACTGTCATTATCAGAGGCTAGCATTTTTATTTGTATCTTCTGATTAAAAGTATAACTTAAAAATACCAGTAGAAGTTTGATGTCTTCAGAAAGATCTGGCCAGAGAGCTGTATTATTCTAGATGAAGAATAGCAGAGACTTGAGAAACAGGGTGAACTAGGATGGAAAGGATAAAAGAAAAAAATTTAAATATGGAAAAGAAAATGTGAAGTTAAGGAGTTGGGGGCTGCAACTAGGAACACCAAAAACTGGGATATCCCTATCATATGATGTTGCCAGACAATGACCTAAGAAGTTTGGCAAGAGGCTATGAAATGTCTCTCCTTATTTAACCTTCTGTATATTCATGCAAGGTTAGTCTAAAACAAGTAATTAAAAACAAGTTAAGTTTATTTAAAGTCAGATGTATTTGATAGATAGCCTTCAAAAACTCTTCAGAGAACTATTGAACATGGCATTTTGTAGGCTTCAAAGGACGCTGTAACGATAAGCGACACTTACTGGAAGTAAAACTAAGTATTTATTGTAGAAATTACTCACAAGATACCAAACAAGTAACCCAGACGAGACAAGCAGTTTTCCGCTGCCGAATGGGAAGCCGAACTCCGGGAAAAGAGAGCGAGACTTCCTGTGTGCTGTCTTTTATACCTTCCCCCATAACGCCCCCTAGCCATGCCCAAAAGCCGTATACGTCTTTAGTCCTGCCTAAAGTGGGTGTGGTTAGCGGTGTGGTAAACCGCCCTTTTATTACCTCATCTGTATGCACCTCTAGTAAGTCACATGTTTAATGGCGGCATACAGACTTCCTCCTACAGCATTTAAAGTGTTTAGTGAAAAAGGATTCCTGTGATAGACAAAAGTGCCACATAGAGGTCTCTTCCAAAGAAGATGACTCCACCTGGATGGTGGTAAAGCTAATCACTGGACAAGACAGACTCATGCTTTGCCCACTGCTAGGACCATGCTGAGACCATGGACAAGCAGGATACTACAGAAGTGACTGTCCCTCTTTGCCTCACTGTCTTAGCTATTATTTCTATTCTATAAAGGAAAATATTTAATTGGGTGTCTTATAGTTCAGAGGTTCAGTCTATTATCATAATGGTGGGACATGGTGCTGTCGCACAAATTCTAATTGGTCTTAATAATAAAAGCCCAGAGTCAGATAATACAGAATGAAGACTGAAAAGCCAGAGAAACAGAGCAGCTAGCCACTAGAGTCCTACCTCTAGGAAATCTTCAGACTGAAAAGAGACTGAGCTCATGGCCCCTCTCCCCCACCTTATATTCCTCTTTCCGCCCACCCATTTCACTTCCTGTCTGTCTGTACAGACCTTCAGACCTCTATGGTTAACTAGCGAGCTTTGTTAGAGTATAAACAAGATATCACCACAGTAAGCAGACATGGTGTTGGAGAAGGAACTCAGAGTCCTACATCTTGACCTTCAGACAACAGGAAGTTGTCTAAGTGTCATACCGAGTGTAGCTTGTGCAAAGGAGACATCAAAGCTCACTCCCACAGTGACACACTTCCTCCAACAAGACTACACCTATTCCAGCAAAGCCACACCTCTAATAGTGACACTCCCTATGAATTTATGGCAGCCAATTACACTCAAACTACCATACTCACCAACGTAGGTCAGTCTCTCAAGTTCCTCACCCACAGGAAAGTCTCTCAGATCTTTTGGGTCTGGTAGCCAAAGGCTGATTGATGGTGTTCTGTGTGGCAGAGAGTTAATGCTATCCTGTGTGACCACAGGAGACTGAAGCCACTCTGCCTCCATGGAGAGTACCAAGGCTGCCAAGGTAGAGCCTACCATCCAGGTAGCTGCTAAGTCTCTGTCCTTTCACTGATACAGAGGCCATTTGGTTTATACTTCCTGCTCAGACTTATCCTTCTGAGATCTCTGATGGTGTTGATGGCTAACTATAGCTTTATCAGTTTAGTAGCAGATGCCTGTAAATGTATTTCATATGTGAAAATCAGGCCTTACTTTTTATAGGACTAGTAGGTCTCCTGGTGAGAAAAGAAAACTCACAAAACAGGTTCCCATGTAACTTTTGCTATTCCTCTATTTAAAAGAACTTCTGTGCAATGACTGCTCTCAGGGATCAACCACTGTTTCTCATGGAAAATGATTGAAAGGAAAAAAAATTTGAGGTTTATGTAGAGTGTAAGGATCTGAGAAAAAATTTAAAAAATAATAAAACTTAACGATGATACACAATGTTAAGAGTTCAAAGGTTTAGAGTTTTAGCCTATTAACCAGTGGAATTCTGATAAGTTATTAATATCACACTGGTAGAGCTCTAACTACTACTATAGTTACATGCCCAAATTTAAATTTTCCTTTGGCTGTTTTCTAAATATAGACTAAAAGGAGCTTCTCATCATGCTAAAAACATCTCTGTACAATATATATTCAGTCCTTTAGAGAGAGAAAAATGTGTTGACACATTTTTCAAAATCATTTGAGGCTCCATAAGCTTTTACTATGAATCAAAGGCATGGGTCTACTGCTTTTTTTTTAAAATGTGGATTTCTGTACAGATTATAAACAATGGTAATGAAAACTTTTATCTCTTTTTGCAGACTTCAAATTCATGTAAACTTCAGGGAGTTGCTACTTGGATCCACTTGTCACAGTTCAAATAGACCCCAGAGAAGTGCTTCCTGTCAATCAACAGCCTAGGTTTCCCCACTTACTGCTAATTCCTGAGGGGGAAGTTCTAACTGTAAGATTTTCCTTTAAGTTCCTAAACTTGAACTTATGTCACTTTCTGAGATGGCTGGGTGCTGCATTCAGGAATGCAGAGTCCCAGGTATAGACCTGGTACCAGTAGTTGAATAAAAGCCTCTTTTATTTGTTAAAATTTACTAATGGTCCAACTGGGGAATCTCTAAATGACCACAAATCCATAGCAAACTGTACCCAAGGGATGAGCAACGGAACTGAAATTCCCCAAGGCTGTCCCAGATCCTTTGTTCTTCTTCCTGGTTCTGGCTTGGGAATTTTAGCAGACCTTTTCCCATTGAGCAGGCTCCAGAGCCTGTGCTGTAATTGGTCCATCAACTAATCAGAATCCCCCACGTGTGTTCAACGTAGCCAACCAAATTCATCCTAGCTGGATGTCTGATTTACATGTGGATGGGACCAAACTGGCCAATTTTCCAGGATTTAAAAACCTCTTCCAACACATGCTAATGTGCAACTCATTTTTGAGTCTCTCGTGGCTCCAGAAAGCTGTTTTCTTTGCTTCTTCATAAACTTTGCTTGCTGCTCCTGAAAGGAAATGGTATCGGCTCAGGACCCCAAAGACCAAGTTCTTGGTACAAAGGATATTTGTTTGCTCCAGAGGGACAGAGGGCAGGGATAAGAGACGAAGACAGGACAAGAGAGAAGGGGAAGGGAACAAGAGAGAGAGGGAAGGGGTTTTTGTTCCCTAGGGGGGACAAAGGACCACCTCTGGATAGAGAGGAGACAGATGTGGCCCATAAGTAAATGGCAAGGTTATAAAGGTAAATGGGGAAATCCGTGTTAGGATGAGCTGTTTAATTTTGATTGGGCATATTAATTAGGTGAGCAAAGGGGGCTTTTGATGGTTGGACTTCAGTACTTTGATAGCTGGACCTTGGTAGTCAGCCTCAGGAGGAAGGAGTGGCCAAATGGGGGAATAGTCCTTGGTGGCAGCTTTAGGGATGTGGTCTAATGGTTTTTAGCAAGGCAGAGGGGTAGGGGAGAAGGACAAAGACGGCCAGGGCCATGTTTGTCATCCTCGGGCTGCAGAGAGTTCCTTTAGGCTCCTCTTCTGCTGTCCTGGGTCATCATTCTTCACCACCATGAGACAGATGCTCAGCTCCAAGGCAGGAAACCTGTAATGCTGTGGCACGCACCTGGCAAGCCACACCCTAAGGAAGGTCATTTGCCTCCTGACCTAAGGAGGGATGTAGTGTATCATGGCAGAGAAAGCAGAAGGCAGGTGGTCACTCTGCATTCTCAGCCAGGAGGCAGAGAGGAACGATGCTGGTGCTCGTCTCTGTCTTCTTCTTATCTACTCTGGGACACCAGCACATGTCTAGGATGGAACTTCCCTGCTCAGTTAGACCTTTCTGGAAGCATCCTCATGAATATACCAAAAGGTTTGTTTCTATGGGGATTCAAAACCCAGTAAAGATGGTAATGAAGATTAACCGTCATAGATATGGTATGTGAGCAGGACTAAGTAAAAATTTAGTTTTAGGTTTTTAGTTATGTAATCTTTTAAAAATTTTTGAGAATTGGGAGTCTCAGTATGTACCACCCCCCAACCCTTCCATGTTTCTACACATGTTAGAAAAATTTAACAAGTGGTGTTGGGAAAATTGGATACCCACATGTGGAAAAATGAAGTTAAATCTGTTTTAAAAACTAATTCAAATTTGATCAAAAGGGCCTGGAGAGATGGCTTGAGGGTTAAGAATGCTTCCTGTTCTTCCAGAGAACTGGACTTAAAGTCCTAGCACTCATTCGCATAGTTCACAACTGCATATAGCTACAGTTGCAGGAGATCCAACACCCTCTTTTTGTTCCCAATATATCAGCACACATTGTTGTGGGATATTTGTATACTGTGTGATGATGTACTGCTGTGATTGGTATGAGAAAAAGCTGAATGGCCAATAGCTAGGCAGAGGATATAGGCGGGACTTCCAGGCAGAGAGAGAACTCTGGGAAGAAGAAAGGTGAAGTCCCCAGCCAGACGTGGAGGAAACAGGGTATGCAGTATAGAGACTAGGTAAAGCCACATGGCAGAACATAGACTAATATAAATGGGTTAGTTTAAGTTGTACGAGCTAGTTGGGAACAAACCTAAGCTAAGGCCAAGCTGTCATAATTAATAAGAAGTCTCTGTATCATTATTTGTGACCTGGTATTCCTGATGAGAAAGTACTGTGGCAACATATGTGGCAAACACATACACATGAATTTAAAAATTAAATAAATATACAAGACTTGATTCTCTTGATTTATCTCCGTGTCCTCCCGGTAGGATATTGACTCTGGCATTCTGGGTTTTTCAGGTTCCCACCAAAATTCCAATACCCATTAGGGTCTCCTTCCTGCTGACTTTACCCCATTGTATGATGACTTTCTGTTGACTCTGTCCCATTTCCCCTCTGACTCTGTCCCCCCCTCCACAAACTGTATATAAGATGCTGCATTTCTTAATCAACCTGCTGCATGAACCATCAGCTTGTGCAAGACATCCTATCCCCAAACTTTCCTACCTTCTTTGTTTTCTCCTCCCCATGGTTCTCCTCCTCGGGACTCTGTCACTGAAGAATACCTGCTTGTCAGGCAAACAATGGGGGATTAAGTTTATAAAGTCCATTTGCGATGGTTTAGTATCCTAGGTCAGTTGGAGGTCAGAGGAATTATCCCCTTCCTTGTAAAAACTCTGTTAAATTTTTCAGAAAAAGGACCTCTCAAGTTATGTTTTCTGCAGTAGTCAATAACTACAAAGCAAAGCCCTTTGTTAGTCATAGCCTCTCATAGACAGACTTCACACACACACACACACACACGCATGCACGCACGCACACAGGCACACACACACACACACACACACATAGGAGAATCAGCAGGTGCACTAGTCAGTGCCATCCAATAACTACTGTGTACAAGCCAGTGTCAAGAACCTGGCTGTAATGGCATAGGGTAGGTGTTAGCATTGTTGCAGAAAAGAGACTGAAGCCCTTCAGAAGCACACTCCATATCTCTGAGGGTGTCTGCAGCCACCAGGGAAATGTCCTGGATGAGGCTAAACTCAGAGAGAACTGGAGAGAACAGATTTACTTCTCTGTTCCCCTCCTGCCAGGGTCTATCAGGCTGTGATGAGTTGTTGAACTATGCATGACACTGAAACTTATTTTACAACTCTTTCGGTTACCTGTCTAGATGATATCGCTTGCTTGGTACATCAGTAGTGCCGGCCACACAGAAAGGGACAAGAGAGTTAGTTATTCGTTGCATTGGGACAAAAATTCAAGAAGGCAGCAGCTATCTGATAGCACTCTCCATGGGCTCTGTGGAACTGAGGTTAGTGTTGGGGCATCTGATGAAGCCAGGACTGTAACGTAGCTAGTAACGTCAGAGTTTTGACCACACACATTTGGAACTCCACCAGCAACTCTTGGGAACAGACCATTAAGGAGAAAATCATCTTTCTTGTGTCTTTAGTAAAATGGAATAACTCCTGTTTGTGGAAACCACTTTGTGTTTTGTATTAATCAAGCAGCTGGTAATCGTGGTGGTAGAGGAAGGTTCCTTTAACATGGACCAGCTCTTGCAGCTCTCCTGCTTCTGGTATTTTGGAAGAGCTGAAGGGAACATTTCGTGGGAATGAGGTAGAGGTGGGTGGGCACTTGTAGAAGAGAGACAGAGCAGTCCCTCTGCAATCACCATTACCCAGGCCTCCAGCCAGGACAAATAGCATGGACAGGATGAAGACCACAAATGAGATGAAAGCGCCGACCAAGGTGGTAGCCAGATCTGCTGGTCCTCGAGGGAGTGGGCACTAGCTCCAGGCTGAAAATGAGGGGTTTAGGATGGATCTGGGATGGCTGAACTGCTGTTTGTGGCAGGGGCAGCCCACTGCAGCCGTCCACCTCCTATCTCTGTGCCCTGTGAGCCTGAAAGCTTTGTTCTAGAGAGTTCTAACTAAAATGCTCCCATACATCTGCATTCAGAACATGGACTTCTGTGTATGTCCTTGGACCTCCATGGATTCGTCCCAAAATCTTCCTATGAAGACATATTTCCACCCTTTCCTGGTAACATTTTATTTTCTTTTTACACACACACACACACACAGAGAAAGAGAGAGAGAGAGAGAGAGAGAGAGAGAGAGAGAGAGAGAGAGAGAGTCAGTGTGAGTGTATGTCACTTGAATGCAGAAGCAAGAATTGGGCATGAATCTTCAAACTTGAACTGAAAATTGAATTCTGAAGCAAAAAGGATATACTCTTAACCCTTGAGCCACCTCTCGTGACCCATAGGTGATCTTTTTCTTGAAACAAAATTCTGGGGGCACAACCAATCACGAGCCACTTGGCTCTTTCCAGGCCTGAGTGGGCAGAGGACAGAGATGTCCCCAGACCTCCTGGTCTGGAGGTGGTACACAATCAGCGTTGAGCCCACCTGGTGCTCCAGGCACCAGGAGGTTGGGCACCATTATACCAAGTGCTACCCAAGGTCTCTAGACCCTGGGCACACTCACCACCTTCTGGCTGGGGTGAACATGATTCAGCCATGCACCTCTGAGACTCAACCAGGAGTCCATCTGCCTGGAACTCTTGATGCCATTATGGTGAGTGAATACAGGGTGGGAAAATGGAGGAGAGAGACAGACCAGTTCATGGGTTGTGGAGAGAGACAGACCAGTTCATGGGTTGTGGAGAGAGACGGATCAGTTCATGGGTTGTGAAGAGAGATGGACCAGTTCATGGCTTGTGGAGAGAGGTAGATCTGAAGAAGTGAGGGTGGTGAGGAGCAGACCCATGTGAGTGGCCTGCTAGCCACCCAAGTCTAAGGCGATGTCCTGGCCTAGGTTATTGCTAAGGACCAAGTCTTGGTCTGAGGCCCTGAAGCAGATAAGAGAGCCTGTGTTGATGTCTATGGTTCACATTACCACTGAGGGCTATGCAGAGGCCTGTAGTCAGGGGCCATGCTGGTATCAGAGGGTCACACAGCCTCAGGGACCATACCAACCTGAATGATCTGCCCTGCCACCTGGAGCCATGGTGACATCCAGGCCTGGGATGCTGCCAAGGACCATGTCTGGGTCCTACCACAGTGTCTAGGTTGATGTCTGTGAACCATGTTACCACCAAAGATGACACAGATGCCCAGGCCTACGCCACAACCTGTGATCATGTTGGTGTCCAAGGGCTGTGCTGCCACTGGGGCCATGCTGCTCCAAGTGGCCTATGTTGTTACCTGGGGCCATGGAGATGTAAGGGCCCAGGCCACTGCCTAGGGCCATGCCTGTGACCAGGGTCTGGGGTGATGCCCATTGCTCCTGTTACCACTGAGGGATCTGCAGATGTCCAGTGTCTGGTTAACCACCTGAGGCCATGTTGGTATATGAGGGCCATGCTGCCACCAGAGCCATACTGATCTATATAGCCTGTGCTGCCACCAACCATGGTGACATCCAGCCGGAACTGCTGTTGAGGGCTATGTCTGTGCTTGTGGTCCTGCAGCTGGCATCCGTGATGATGTCCATGGCCCATGTTAGCACAGGGAGACATAGGAACCATGCATGTGGAGATCTGAGGGCTGTGCTGAGCCAGCTCTCCCCTTCACTGGCCCTGATGCTTGCTGGATATTTCACCCAGA